ATCTCCTTTCTCGGATACTGATGTCCTAATCTGCTTTGGTGCATCGTTCGAGACCGACTGAGCGCTCTTACTCACGCTCCCGTGTGGGAGACTTATCCTCTCCGTCGGTGCTTCAGTCAGAGATTTCTTTTGTCTGCGGTCGCGAGCCGACCGTGCTCAGAGTACACCTGATTACGTCGTACTGCTGCAGCTGCTGTAGCTGCTACCACTGTTTCTGTTATTGTTACTATTATTATTATTATTTTTACTACTACTACTATTATTATTATTTTTATTATTATTATTATTTAAAAAACGTATTTAAAAAATAATTATATAAAAATAATTATTTTTATCACCCGGGCCCCACCACCATCATGATCTTCATTACTTTATTATTATTTATTATCATTTTTATTATGACAGTATGATGATGATGATGAAGATGATAATGATGTTGCCGATGATGATGATTACTATAACAATAATATGCAAATATACCTGTATAATATGTATATACACAAAGTCGTGGCGCTACGAAGAACGGCTGAGATGATCATTATTAATCAACCTGGTCAGCTGGAGGGTAATATTCAGCCGTGTGTAAAGGCGTTGTTTCAGCATTGTTTCTTGGCAGATCAGGGTCATGTCATGAGAACTGGTGATTAAGAAAGGGATTGCTCTACTTTTCCTAATGGCCCGGTTACACGTAACGATACATTGTGTCAGATTCCTCGTATGCGAGAACTGTCCGTTTTATCGAGCTGTGTAGTCTGTTTAGGCGTTCCAATCTATCGTCCAGTTTTCTTTCGATCAGGGAGATTCCTAGTCATTGATTTAACTGCAGATGTGCAACGCACGGGGTGACCTTGATGCACAACTTCACCATTGGCGATCAACTAAATAATAAAATTGCTAAAGTATACATAATAACGAAATCAACTCAGGTTCTCCGCAAGCAGCGTTGCTTATTTTGAGACGTTGATTCCGAATATGAAATCAGTTTTTACGCGCGATAATTATTTTAAAAATTTAGAGTCGTAAGTTTACGCCTGCGCGGCGTCAAATTTTAAGGTGATTCTACGTCACCGCGCGTCTCCCCCCAAATCTGACCGTGATCGCACTTAAAATGTCAAGCAGCGCTTGATTTCTCGACCGAGTCTCCAAGCCACCGTCTCATCGTCCAAACTTTGTTCTATTTTGTGGGGAGTTACACCAAGGAGATAAAAAGTAATTTCTAAGCTCCTTGGGTTACACCTGACGATTTGTCTCATGATCGAGAGATCGTCCGGTTTTTGGTACAATTTATCGTTGCGTGTAACCAGGGCTTTTAGTGTAGACCTACGCGATGGATGATGGGTTCTTTTTTTTGGTGGAATGTGACGTTTGCTTCTTCTATGAGGTCTTTGATGACGTCATTACATGTAGAACAGATTCGCCTCAGTAAAGGGCAAAAAATAAAATCGCTTTAACAGTCTGCTCAGTTCCAAAATAGGTACTGGAAACCTTTTTACCAGTTAGTAATAATACTTGCATTTATATAGCGCATATCCATGCTCAAGAGCATGCTCTATGCGCTTTACAACTATTATTACCCCAGCAGACCCTCTGAGAACACTCAAACATTCTCAGCTTCCGCGGAAGC